TGTTATACACACACACATATATATATATATATATATATATATACACGCGCATAAGTATATATATATATAAATGTATACATGCCTATGTCTATTTATATATATACATATACATATATATTTTTATATACATATATATATATATATATATTTGTATGTGTTTAGTATGTATATATGATCTTCTATGAAGGAACGCCATAAATACACCCGCATGCACTGGAATAAAATAAGCGTCATAGATAGTTTCGTTTTTCTGTTACGCATGTACCGATCTATTTAATTCTATTACAGAGATCGAAGTGGCTTCATTGATCAAGATGAGCTCCAACGATGCTTAACAATGAGTGGGCTTTCCGGGTCGTGGAAGCCTTTTTCCGCAGAAACGTGTCGTCTGATGATTGCTATGCTGGATAGAGATGTATGTGTTATACGAATTCGTTGTATGATATTAACGTATACAAAGTACAACTCAGTGCACAGAGTACTACCGACGGTTGTTGTTCGTCGGGTTTTATTTGGATTTCGGTTGTATCTATAGATTCTGTCGTACACCGCACGCAGTTAGTTTCACTAGGCCCCCGTATGCGACAGTGTGTATCACCCAATCGTCTACCCACGTTTAAGCGACTGTCACGGCAAACTTTTAAGCATAGTTAAGACCATATGGTTTGTCGGCCGAGATGTGCCTGAGTACGCAGAGTCTAATGATCGGATAGACCTCTAATCCAGTAATACCTCTATGCGACCTCAACTAGTCTCAGATCTTTACTACTACTAGTAGTACCTACTCAGACAGCGTTTCCGTGCGGAGGCTGGGAGTTGTGTGTGAGGCGTGTTGTGATAGTCAGAGAGGAATGTTGAAGGTGATTTGGTCATGGTCACGCGACTCTATCTGCAGATGTATATCGCATCGCATGGGCTGTCTAGACTATTGTACATGACAAGAATCAGTTCTAAGTTCACGCAGGTGTAAACACTCCATGTCGCCAATTCACCTTCGATCTTTTTTCCTGATCCCCTCTATAACAGCAAAATGGGACTCTATCGTTCGATGAATTCAAAAACTTATGGTATGTGAGAGTGCGGTTTGAATGCTTGTTGCGTTGTTCTGTTGGTAAAATAATGCTTGTCATTGATAGTGGACCCTCTATCCATCATTGGCCTTCACTTATATGTAGTATTTCACACACTTGCCGCTTATCTTATGGGATGGCCAGTTTGAATACGTTTTAGAATATTCCTTGTTCACGAGACTCGACCAGACACGTGTGGCTGCGTCCGTGCTCAGCACAGCACCAATCGTTTGCATTACCTCACTTTGACATTTCACACGCCGTATTGCCACCTGGGGGCATAGATACAATATGTCCAAGCCATGGCGGGTCATTAATCCGTCTATTCACTATTACTACTCGTACAGGCAAATCGTCAACGGCTGGAAGCAAGTGTTCCTCCAGGCTGATGCAGGTATGCCGTGTGGCCGGGGTGTGCGACATGCAATCGACCGGCGAACGTATGAGACTATGATATGAGTCTTGTACCAAGTGATACATTGAATAGCATCTTTATACAAAATGGGTGTAAACTGATGTGGGCGGGCGTGTGGTTATATCATATAGCTTTGATAGTTCTGTTTGGCTCCCTGCGCGTGCGTGTTGTATCTCGACCCAGACAACCCTACACTTTGAATACACTTGAATCCTCGCTAATGTTCACGTATACTGTAGTATTAGGTTGTCGTTGGCGTAAAACATACATAGCATGTAATTTAGCCGGATATATAGAAGTTGGTAGTTTGAAGGTCCAAGAATGCAGATTCAGTGTTCAGTGCCACATGGACTGTATAATGAATGCGAGAACACGTCTGTTTATAGTGAGTTATAATACCACGCTGTTTCGCTCTAGGTCATACCTTTAGCTTTCGGATTATAGCTAGATCGGTTCAGATATTATACCTGCACAGTCCGTCGTTCTTCACTGATAGCTGTCGCATCGCAACCAACCGTGCTGTCACTACTTTGTTCTCATGTGTAGATCGTTCCGGATTTGTCGACGAGCGAGAACTAGCACAATGTATAGCACAATTAGGATATCGACTGTCGCCCCAGACTATCGGGAATATGGCCAAAAGGTAACTATAACGATACGAGGCTGTATACTGTATACTGTTCCTATTTTGAATATTCTACATATCTTTTTGGCTTGTAATGTATCATTCATAGATCGCTCGGGGTTCATTGACGAGAGAGAGCTACAACAGTGCATTAATAATTTGGGATACCGGCTTTCGCCTCAGACAGTGCAAAGTATGACCAAAAGGTACTGACCCGCACAGTGTTGAGCTCTTGCGTTGGATCGCTTACCAGTACTTCCATCGTATTTGGATCGTTCGCATATCGAGTACTTGTAGTGAAAGTCTTTATTTGTGGTTGAAAGTACCAACGAATGTTGCGAAGGTCGTGCTGTTTTGTTATGGTTGACTTTCATATGACCTAAATGCAATGTTTGTGTATATGTAAAATACAAAGTCGAGCTTTTTGCGTGTCTAAGTTAGTAGTTCCTGGTCTCAAGGCCTGCAACTAACCATCACATGCTTGCTTGTTTGATCTTTCACGAGTAGCCGCACGCTGGCAGCAGGCCATATATATATATATATATATATAATATATACATACATATATGTATATTATATTATATTATATTATATGTATGTATGTATGTATGTATATATATATATATATATATATGTATATATATATATATATGTATATATGTATATGTGTATATATATAGGCAAATATGCATATAGGTATATACACATAAACTTTCTTCGTGTAAATAGGCATGTGTCAAACTGCCTGCCTCTTCGATTGGCAACCGCACATGCGGGGGCTGTTTATTTATTGCTCAGAATTTTATGCACAGTTTGGTACGCGTTGCGTTCATGCCAATGCAAAATCCGATGCCGTTGATAGTAATATAACTTCCTATGATATCACCCAGAGGGCGCGCATGTATCTATACATGGTATCGCTCAGAATAAGCTCTCAATCGATTCCCAAATTGTTCACGAACCTTACCAATCACAGAAGTTCTAGAGTACATCCTCAGGTATCCAAATAATCCATCGAAGGAGCTTGTGTCATATCATTCTTCGTTGCATACATAGCTCCCGAGCTATATTCAAGCTTGTTCTTCTATGTGCTCTGCTCAAATAAACACAAGATTGTGTCCCAATATTTTGTATATCCTGTGTTAATTGCCTGAATTCCTTCCATATACCATCTCCAGGTATTCAGACAACTCGTCGAAACAGCTTGCGTTCGATGACTTTGTCGCGTGCATTGTGCGCATGAGGGCGCTTACCGATGGCTTCATGGTGCTGGACCACCAGCGCACTGGCGTGGTACAAATGCCCTACGATAAGGTGTGCGCGCAGTCATTTTTATTGTGATTCACTGTTAAATATATATATATATATATTCGCGTGTCGTCAGTTAGTTGTGTCACATCGAGGTATAGGCAGTCAACTTCATTGTGAAAGCAGTGGTGACAAGTGTATATAGTATGGCGATTTGGTGTCAGTGGGAACCTATGGTGATGGGGGTTGCGTATCATTTTTGGCCAAAAAAAGCAGTTCTTTATCTCATTGCAGTGTTCTGGTGGTGAGCGATTATAATCGGAATGCAAGATCCGCCCTTCTTTCATTACATCATATTAGGGTTGGAATTGCTATGAGCAAATATACTCTTGTTTGCTCCTTGTTTTAACGTCTACATCTTGTACATCTCTTGCAACGCAGAACACCATATGCACTATATAAGAGGTTTCATAATAGCTATTGAAGATTCATAGGATTCTATGGCTTATTATCTGATAACTTGTTCTATCTGGAGCCTCTGATTCTAGAGATCGTACACCATACTCACCCTGATTTCTTTTTTACTCATACTCATCCTGATTTCTTTTTGGCTCATACTCACCCTGATTTCTTTTTGGCCATGCTGTCTTGCAGTTCATACAGCTGTCCATGATGTATTAACGGCGACTGAGTGCAAGGACTGGTCTCGGAAATACCATTGAAGAGGAATCAAAGTAGGAATTGCGGGGAGTGTCACGTCAAGGGTTGCATATCGTTCCAAAATTTTGGATAAAACTTTTTCGGAACCCGAATGCAACGAAATCGATCCGAACATACTACGGTCAACTTATACAGAGCTTCTATGCAAGTCGTAGATGGCTGTTCTGAGCACAAATGTGGCGGCACTTGGTGGGCTTACTTCACACCTACGTGTGGTAATCTGTCCATCGACTATAGACCGGTCTCGCTCACAAAAGGTTCAGAATCTGCACCAAGTTGGTGTAGTATCTGACCCCACTGACAATAAAATTGAACTATAAACCGATGAACCCGTATAAGAGAGTATTTTGCTTCTGACCAGTGTTGTTTGTTGCCATTGCATATGCAGATTTTAACACATCTCGAATATTGGGGTTGGAAGCTGACAAATTTAATGCGCCAACAATAAGTGATGTACTTATTTATGAGAGAATTTGCTTGGATTAGTCTAGATACGATTACTACTTCCTTTTTGGGCGAGGGGGCGGTGGGGGTTAGGGTTAGCTGTTTCCCCTTTCCCATGGGCGTGTGCTTCTTAGCCATACTCTGGATGAACTTTTATAGCGACTGATCCAATGCCTCTCGATTACAGAGGTCGTTTATCACAGCTTTATTACTTATGCACTAATAGTACTACGCCAGGTGTGTGCGATGTATACACGCTCTTGCCCCCCAGTAGACTAGCTAATTGACAATATCTCGGTCGCCGTACTCATGCGTGTCAGAATGTCAATGTGCGTTTGCCTAATATAATTCGTCCTACGTACTGTTTCATTGGTGAGACGATGAGACGGCTCCTGCGAGAAAGCTCCTAAATAAGCTAATTTTGACCTGAGCGAGCATTGACTTGATATAATTCTACTAAAAACGAATCTTCGCATTCGGCCGTTCGATGTGCCACTGCAACTGAATCCCCCTCCTTCGCCTATCTGATCTCGCTACGGTTCAATCCGACCGTTGTTGTCATACATCCTCGTTCGCCCTTACTTCAAGTACAATGGAAGCTGAATAGCAAAACGTTGTACCTCTCGGAGAATCCACAAGGGTTAACGGTTCAAAAGCCCTTTGCCCCATAGCGTACCTACATTGGGCCATTGATGAGTATCGACTACATGCCAGCCCCAAAGCTCGCTCAGAAAACTATACCTACCATTCCATATTCTCAGAAAGTGGGCTCTACATGTTATGGCACGAGACACCCCCGTCGGCTGGACCACAAAATGTCCTATTTGGTACGGATTGGAGCCATATGAGGGCATTTTGCGTCTGAACATTGGGCACAATCTAGGCCTTCTGTATACCGAAATCGGCAGCGTCCGTTACCAATTTGTTGATAATCCAGTTGGCATCGTCGTCGCTGAAGTCCGGGTGCGCGATAGACAAGCGCAGAATTGCCTTCGACTCTATGACAGTGTTCACCATGAAAGTAGTTCGGTCTTTGTTAATCTCTTCCAAGAACTCCAGCACACGCTCCTCTGTCTCTCCTCTCGGCCTGTGATGAGTATATGGAAGCAAAGATACATGCATCAGCAAGATAGCAAAATATGCAAATGTATCAAATCACCATATATATATATATATAACACACACGCACATATATATATATATATGCGTGTATGTAATAATTGCAGCTAAAACGTGTTTTGGAAGATAAACGTACTTCGCTAGATATTATAGCGATATCTCGATCGTAATGTTTTTAGACTTCCGCTCATTTACACACATTCACTCCGAATGGAACGCTATTAAACAAAACTCGCCGAATATAGAATATAAATTCAGCCCAGAAGCATGTCCGCTTTCGGGGCAAGAATAGTAATTTGTGTAGTAAATGCCGTAGTGATATAGAGTGTGTCGAGATTGGTGTGCAGTTTACATAAAGCGATAATTCGGTTCCACTGTGTTTAAGATCACAATGCGATTTCCAAATGAGCATGGAAAGCGAAATATTCTCGGCCCGATCGCATGTACGCCCCACACTGTGTGGAAGTAAAAGGACATGTCTGACAGATGGGATGATGCGGGATGATGATTGCTTTTGCACTTGCCGTTTGCTCAGAACTTGGTCATTCAGATAAAGCGAAGGTCGTAGCAAGATCTAAACTTGACTGGCGACTGTCACTCCCTACTTACTCGTTACAATGGGAAGAAGGGACACACATACCTGAAACACACAAGACCAAAGTCAGTCGATGTGAGGACCTCGAAGTAGCCCGATTCCTGTACATGTCGAAACACACGAGTGGATAAAACGTTAACGTCCTGCGCTGGTGAACTCGTACAGATTCTCTGCACTGTAAAGACTCGAATGAGGTCGACGTTGACACGGCGATAGGGTTCAGCGAGGTGAGAGCAATCACACTCTTTCTCTCGAAGGTGTTTCTATGCATTCAGAGCATACGATAAATATCATTTCCGCAAACATTCATGGAAGCTAATTAGTGTGACCGTCTACAGCAGAGCTCATGATAAGATTCGTATAGAACTGGGAGGTAATTGCAGAAGAACATTCATCCTGTTTCAAATTTAGAGCTCATACATGCATACATACACATATATATATAAAACAAGAGCAAGTCGATACTAGAACGAGTCACGCGACGCAGAGACAGCGCGACAAGGCGGACTTGCCTGCATACATAGGATACATATATACATGCACTCACACATACATAAACATTACAAGTATACGCGAGCATACATCACTATTGAACACATGTGCTGAGCTGTGAGACTATACACTGAGCTATCAGAATATACGTACATGGATGTATACCAACAAATATACTTGTGCAACTAAACACTTGTAAACGTGCACACGAACAAACATCCGTACACTTGTAAACGTGCACACGAACAAACATCCGTACTGAGCATATACGTTGAGCGGTGATGTTATACTCAAATTTATCCATATATACATTCATATATATATACATAAGCACATACTTGTGTACATTGATGGTTGGAAAACGTGCATGCACACATAAATTCCCAGTGAACACATACATTGAGTTGTGATGCTATGTACTTAGCCAAGCGGATGTGCTCTCGAATCATGTTGCGCAGATCCTTGAAGCCCATGGTTCGCAGCATTGTCCACACCTGACATGCAAGACAATGGAATACACACATTGGTTGAATTAATAGTGTTACACAGTGGTTGAATTAATAGTGTTACACAGTGGTTGAATTAATAGTGTTACACAGTGGTTGAACTAATAGTGTTACACAGTGGTTGAATTAATAGTGTTACACAGTGGTTGAATTAATAGTGTTCGCTAGTGTGGGTCACACGTGCTATGAAAGATGTTTTCAATACAGACCGTATGCGAGGGCAAACTTTCAGTCTACCCACTCGAAGTGGCTGGATAGTATTAGCACAGTAGGATTGTTAGAATGCGAACCCAGCAGCATTGCCCAACAACATGAGATGACGGTATATGCCTCAACAATCCCTATAGCGCTATCTACACACAAGTTATATCGATGAAAACCACACAAAGTGAGTGTATGTGGCGGATGATGGCAATATTGTCGACACCAAAAGTGGGAGCAGGACGGGACAGAGTATACCGACAGGATAATCGCATGCACACACTTATCACACAAGTGCTGCGCTGGATATTTCAGGTTGACAGAAAACAAAAGTATTCACATACCTTTAGACTTCTCCAGTTTTTGCCAAGTGATAACTGCAAGTCTTTGAAGTCGACGGGATTGTAGGTATCGGCGGCGACTGTCTGACATCCGCTATCGCTGCCATCTTCATAAGGTTTCATGGGTTAGGTCAAGTTTTAAGTTTAAAGAGTTTAGTATGTGATGCAACAGGATCACTCGGATGAAGGTAGGCAAACAAAGGTAGCTGTTGTACACACGGATCAACGCATACTGCCAGGACGCCGATACACTTAGTAATACCTATATACTGCACGCAGGAAGATTTATTTTCGGGATGCGAGGTGCCACCGAGTCAGTTGGATCAACTACCGTATGCAAAGCTAACTACAATACAAACGACTCAAGTACGACAACCGGGATGGATCAAATATAGGAGTGTGCGAAGCTGGTTGCAATAGACGGGGTATCTGTAGCATCTGCAGCACGTAGTGAAACACAGGCAGTGCAGTTGGTCCAAGGGGTCTTGCGCCAAACCATGCAATGGCAAAGTCTAACGGTACATGGTCGTGTGTTGGATCAGACACAGCACAAGGCTACCGAGCCTTTGCTGAATTGAACGGACATAGAAACACAATAAGAAAAGCCGAATGTGGTCGACCCGATTAGGCTTGAAAGCTACACACATTCATATCAGCATGTCACGTATACCTACATTCATATCAGCATGTCACGTATACCTACATTCATGTCAGCATGTCACGTATACCTTCTTCCACCTCCACGCCCTTCGTGGGCCGTTCTCCGCTCTTGAGGTACACCGCCGTGTGATTCAACGACGCAGCGACTGCCTTGTTGTCAGCCATGAACATGAACGACGAGTTGAAGAGACAGCCAAACCATTTGGACCCGCTGTAGCAGTTGTGAGTATACGCGATTTTTTTTTAGTATAGGGTTTGCAGGCTGTTGCAGTATGGATCCTCGATATACAATGTATCAATGCACATGCATGTGTATAGATGTATATACGAATATATATATATATATAAGCATGCCATACGGTATCGAATGCAATCAACATCGAACACAACTCATGCCCAGAAGTCTCAAGCCTCCAGAGGAGCAAACATAGTCCAGCATGTGGGACACAAACAATCCACCACATACTAATACTATGAAAGAAACCCAAAACCTGTACAAATAAGGCAAGATCTACACTACACGCACAAGAGGTCGCATGCAGTATAACTTTCAACACCCGCAGCAATATTAGAAAGAAGTACTGTTGTATTACTAAAAGCAGTGCAGACTATGACAAAACTCTTATGTGAGCTATATATCTTAAGTTTCAACCACCAACCCGAATCTCGAGTGCCCAATTAATGAAACAGCAAATATAAATCAGTTCACCGGACAGGCCCCAGTATGTGATATAAACTTACAATATATATATTTAAAATGTACACATATACATAAAACAAAATTTCCCTTACTTGATAATGATGGTGTCCGCTCGTTCCCAGCCGTTGAAATGGTGTCTTAGTTCCGGGACCATTGAAGCGGATCCTGCATACGCCGCATCCACGGTGAACCACATGCTGTACTTCTTTGCGATATCTGCTACCTTGTTGATGGGATCTATCGAGCATGTACCCTGTCGAATACAATAATATACAATAATATATATAAGAAAAAATGACATCTTTTTACTCCTTCAGTTGAATGAAACACTCACTGATACACAGCTCAATAAGCAATCGTGAACCACACCGCAAAAGCCGTTGTGCTATCAGTCGACTACACACCCCGGAAAGTGTCCGAGAGCATAGACTTGAAATGCCCGTGCTCGACATACACACATAAACGAAGTGAGTGTATGCCGGGAAGATGGTCTGCTCAAAGGTATGACGAGAAATGCATGTCATTCCGTAGCTCCAAAAGAAGTCGTGTGGCTTGGACGGTGGATTCTAAGTGGGCAGAGTACATGAGAAAGCAAAACAACCAGCACACGTATTGTCATATGGCTGTTTTGTCTGTTTATCTATACTCGTACACATGTTGTGTGCTTATATATATACATATATACGAATGCATATATGTATGCCTTACCGTGGCTCCAATAGAGGCTGTCACGAAGCACGGGGTTAACCCAGCCGCAATGTCGGCCTTGACGGCAGCTTCTAACTGGTCAACATCCATGGGCCAGTTATTTGCGGCGTCATTCCACGGACATCTGATTTTGCGCAGGTGAGTGATTCCAGCGCATGCAGCACCCTGATAGGCATGGACACGTGTCAGTGTTCATAGACGCAACAGCTCAATATACGAACCAACAACATTCGAGCGCATTTCTAGGTTCCAGCGGACACGACCCCACTTGCATACTTCGTATAATGAAACATAGCAGGACTGCTCTGCGATATAAACCTGCAGATCTTTCATTCGGAGACTATGTCCTGAATATTCAATGCTACAAAATATCTCCGAGATGCAGATGCATAGACGGAGTACGTTGTATCTATCAGATAAAGTAGTAACCAACGTTCTAGGATATGTATCATATTTATACAGACAGACAAGAGGGGCATTCTATACAACGACACACACACCTTCGTCGAGCAGAAGTGACTGACTTCAGGTACATAGGCCACCAGGTTGGTGGCCTTAACCTCTGGGTGGAGACGCAGCTTTGTATCACGCGCAGCGATGGCTGAGACAACCATTCCATCTGTGGCAGAGTGCTGCATCACACCTCCACCCTTATCTCCCTACGGTGTTCACAGTACGATGCAACATATTTAGAAAATAGTATTTAAATACAGTACGGGAGGCTACCGACCGGATTGTATCATCTCTCTGATGTATCTTTTCTGTGTGCGTGATGCTACTATAGGATTAGAAACAGACGTTCTGAAATAACGTTTGTGGACATGGAACGTATTTTTTTTTTACACTATCGGCTTCATGTCATTACATTACGGGAAGCGCACTACACATGGTCCATCGAAATTCGCACACACTTCTATTACGTACATAGGTCGTTCGATATCGATAAGCCACACTTTCAATAGTACAATGCGACGGCAACTCACACCTTCAACCCTTTGGTGCCTCGTTGCCGCCATCCAAACCTCTCGAGCGGCAGGCCAAAAGCGTCGCAGATGGCATCCATGACAATCACTTCCATCTCACTGGCTGCAGGGTTACACAGCCACGAAAAACTCGGTGTGTTGATTGCATTGCTCAGCAAGTCGCCGAGGAGAGCGGGATACGACATTTGGGAGGGGAAATACGACATGAACATAGGGTCTTGCCAGTGAAGAACACCAGGCATCACCTGAGACATAGTGATAAGGGTATAGGGGATGTGACATCGGATGAGTGATAGAACGATGTGGATGTCAACGCAGTCGCTTAAGGGCACTATTTGAGACAAAAATCATGAACATACGGTTATAAAATGTATAGAAACCCAAGCACGAGAAAAATACAGAATATGATTAGTCTTAGACACCGACTGACCACTCGAGATATATAAATACAAACACACACACATACAAATATATATATATCTATATATATACATATACGTATCGACATAAATACACACATATATATATATGTATATATACATACATATATATATATATATATATATTTGAGTAAGTGTGTACTTATATATTCATACA